AATTTTCAATCCTCCTGCGTGCTGGGATTCCGGGCATGTGCTACCAAAGGCAGCACTTCACAGGTTTTGTTTATCTCTTCCGTTGGTGTAGCCTCATGATGAATAGAATCAGGAGTTACCTTAGCGCTTGGCGCTTGGGTCTTAACTTCCGGTTGCCCTTCAATTTCTTCCTCAAAAGAGATAACATGGTAAGTACTTAACAAATGTTAAGGAAACTGGCCATAAGGGCACATGTAAATCTGTATAATTCCAGCATTCTGGGAGGTTGAGGTAGGAAGACTGCAGGTTGCAGCCTACCCTGGGCAATTTAGCGACTTAATGAGACCTGGCCTCAACAAAAGGGCTGGGCTGGGGGCTGTTAGCTCAGCGTGAAGTATTTATTTTTTTGCTCCGAATGCCTGCAGGGCAGGTTGGCTGGCTTGAATTGTGGGGATGAACCTCAGCAACCTGAGCCTGACTGCTTTGTTGAAGCAGCCACTTAAAGAACTGAGCTAAGGGGCAGGCCCCCAACGTGTAGTATTTCAATGCAATCCCCAAACTGTTTTTAAAAAGGTGCTCACATAGGCCTGGGACTTGCAACCCTCCTGCCTCAGCCTCCTAGAGAGCTAGATTATACTAGTGTGCTAGTTCAACACGTGCTTTTTTTTTTTTTTTTTTTTTATGCTCCTGAAATCCCTTCCAGTGTGTTCCTCTTTATTAATTTTCAGAATACAAACTTAAACTTGGATAGGCTGAATTAGCCCAGCCCACCTCTGGCAGGTACACTCAACATGCTGTATAAAGTATAACATTCAATTTATTATTTCTTTCTCAAGAGAGTTTTTCTTCAGTCCATTAAGCCCCAGCTCCCCTTCCATGGGCTTTGGTGCAGGTCGTGGGGCAGCACCAGCAGGTCTAAATTGGGGTGGAGTTCGGTCCTTGCGGGCTTCAGGAGATCGATTTCTGACCAGTTTGCTGTGAATGGCACAACTCACACAATAATGCAGCTTCACATACAGCTCGGGAAGCACATAACCGTCGAAGACACTCGCTTCGGAAATGTCCCTGACGGCTGCGGCCTCCACTATGTTCCGAATGACAAACTTCTTAATAGCTTTATCCTTGGGTACGCACCGGGCGCAGTTCGTGCAGCGAATAGGCTGCACATGACCGCGGCCCGTTTTGGCACGACCGTTGTTCCTTCTTTTTTTCATCATCTTGGAAAGGAGGACCCGAAAGAGAACACGTGCTTTTTAAGGGACACAGTCAAACCACGGTAATAGTTTAACAGTAATGAAATCTTGGTTCACAGGTTCTGAGATGCTTCATGCACTCCGGTGCATCTGTAAATCCTGCACACCACTTGACCCTTGCCACTCCCTACGGATGGGCAGCTGGAGGCTGGGGTTGGGAGGGAAGGGCTAGGGCTGCCTCTTCAGAAGAGAGTTAGGAATGTTTCTGGAGGGTAAGTCTGGATTCAGGTGAGGACAGGCAAAAAACCAGGAGTAAGAGAGGAGAAAAATAGGTTGAAGAGTAGCAGTTCTTAGTCAATTAAGCCTTTCCCCGGAGTGGCTCTTTTGGCTTCATTGATGGACCTATGCGCCTTACCTAATGACTATTAATCAGTTCCAAAACGGATAGGGACAGGTTCCTGCACTAACACTTGGGCTTGTCATTGCTCTTGAGCTTTGGCTGCCTTATGATTTGCCTCAGTCTATGCTGTTGTCGATGTTTGGAAAGGAGCTTGGGAGGAAAAAACCAGTTTGCCCATCTTTCCAAAGGCTGATTTTCTACACGAAATCCTTCAGCAAAACGACGAGGCAAATCAGGCTTGAATTGTATTCCAACTAGAGCCAAAACGTTGACCTAAAGAGGGAAGAGAACGCGAGGATGGGCGTGTCTGGAGCGCCAGGGATTCCCGGCTGCAGCCCCAGCTCTCGGGCGGGAGCGCCATGGCGGAGTGGGACCGGCGCGGACCGTAGGGGGCAGGCTCTGGGGCGGCCAAGCGGCGGCGCGAGGCCCAGATTTTCAGCCTCGAACAGGCGGCGGACGCGGAGGAGACACTCGGCCATCCCGGGGCCTAGTGCCCCACAGCCTCGCTACTACCAGAGACTCCCACCACAGACCCCTTTGTGTGCCTACCCCCCGCCCCGGAGGCGCCCCGGCTAGGGGCGCTGAGGGCCCTCATTGGTTCAGCCGACGGCTGCACCGATTGGCTCTCGACTCGTCCGGCAGGGGCCGCTTCTCCTCATTACTATTGGTCGTTGGAGGTGCCTATCAGGACACCTCGGGAGGTGATTGCTCGGCGTTACGGAGTCCCTGGAAGCAGTTCCGGGAAACCCCGCGTGCTGCCGGGATCGCGTCTCTGTCCATGAGGGGGGGAGGGGGTGGCGCGCGCGCCATTTCTAGTCGTTTTCAAAGCGCCTCGCGCTGATTCTCACGGGCCCGGCTGCCGGCCCCAGCTCTGCCCTGGTGAGTCTTGCGCCGGTCCTTGGGGGGAGGGGCCGGGAGCCCCGATCCGACCCGACTCGGTCCGACCCAGGCACGGCGCCTTTCCCTAGTTTCGTTTTCCCTCCGAGGCTCCGAGGGGGTGGGGGTGGGGGTGGGGATGGGCTGGGGGCGGCTTTGGCCTCCTCCTGCGTGCCGCTGCGGGCCTAGCCCAGCTGGGTGCCTCCTCGCCCGCGCTCATCCTCCCCCGCCCCTCCCGCGCCCGTTCCTCCGTCCGGCCCGCTGGGCGCCCTCTGCTCGGCCTGCCGCGCGGTGCGTGCTTTTCCCGCCTCCGCCCGCCGCTCCCTGCAGCACGGCCGGGCCGGGCGAAGAACCCGCGACGCCCGGGTCCCCATCGCTTCCCCACGCCGGGGCCGCTCGCTCCTAGCCGGGCCTAGCCTGGCCGCGAGTGGGATGGGTCGATCGGCGGGTCGGGCTTGAGGGGGTGGGGTGGGCAGAGGGCGGGGTGCAAATCCCAGGGATACCTGAGCCCGGAGAAAACTTTTTGTGTGCGAGCAGAGGCTGTAAAGCAGATTTCAGTGGGAAGCCTACCTCCCCTCTCCATCCTGCATGCTGCTACGGGCTGAGATTTGAAGGAAAAAATGACTATTAGAGGCCGTGAAACTTAGGCTTCACGTGGCGCCTGAGAGAATTCTGAGAATGTCAGAGGCGCACCAAATTGGAGCGATCCTTTTTCTTATACGGTCGTAGCCGTATTGCCAAAACTAAGTAGTAAAAGCCTTGAAAGGTACAAACCTTTCGCGTGACTTGTCAGAGATTTTTTTACTATTCTCAAGAGGCTGAATTTATGCCCCATGAGTCAGTATTAGGGCAAGGGCTTGACACTACTGAGCCGTGAGGTAACCCGCTAGTTTTCATTTCGTTGGTTCTTTAAAAGCCCGTCTCTTGACGAAGAAGTTGCAGAGATGTTCACAAAAATATCAGGAAGGAGCTAGTACTGACTTGCAAATCTCCCAGCAGCCCTTTTAAATCTTATTTAAATGACTCCTTTTTTGCAAAAAATGTTTAGGTCAAGCAACTCCAGTCACCTTAGAATATTTGCTGCATCCAGAAATATGGTTTGGCTATGTGGCATTGTGTTGAATTGACAAGAGTTTTAAATGGTCTCATATGACATAAAAGTCTTTTAAATGAGTACTTTGTATTCGGCTTGAAGAGAGGTTTTTTCCCCTTGATATGAAGGTTTTATTTTCTGGGCTCTAATTATTTGACATGTTTTGTTAAAGTTTGCAAACTTTTTTTTTTTTTGGAAAATTTTAACCCAACTTCAACTTCTGGGTCTTTTGAAACGAATTGATAGTCATGAATATTTCTATCTTGTGCTTAATACACAGTTTGTCTTTTTGCTTTATACATTAAAAAAAAAAAAACCTTAACAGATGTTCATTGAACTTTTCTGTTAAAAAAATTGCCTCTTTTCTGTAACTAGTAGTATTCCCAGGTGCAATGCTGAGAGGGTCTTGTGATACTGAGAGCTTTTGAGTTCTGATATTCTTAAGAGGTAGTATGGGGGTGGGGGTGCTGGGAGAAACAGAACTCTGTGTTCACAAAGAGGTTTTGAAGCACTTACCTACCCAGAGTTTAACCACGGTCTGCCGTCTCTGTGGACTTTAGAGAACTATCAAATCTTAATGTTTTGTGATCATGAGAGGTCATTGGTATTTATCTTAATGTCAAAGTAACACTTCCTTTATTTTCCTTTCTTTTTTCCTCCTATTGCCTCTTTCTCGTCTTGATCTTCCTTTTTCATTAAATAGTGGACTTTGAAAAGTTGTTTTAAGACCAGAGAACACTTGGTGCGCTTGCACAGTGTCTGATAAGCAGTCTGGAAGTGTGGTTATCTTACGTTGTCTTAGTGCCTTTTTAAAGGAGATTTGTATTTTCTTTATAGCTGACTAGGTTTCTTGAGTTTCTTCAAGAAAAATAGGCATTTTCTTGAGATCCTCCTTTGTGTCTTTTATTTCAGTGTGCGCTGCAATGTCATGATTCTGCTGGCTGTCATCTTCACATTATAATTTTGCCACAGACAAATGCACTTTTATTCCCAGACTTTTGAGGCAGTATAGAGACTGGTCTTGTATGTTTTTATTATTTATTCTCTCTTCAGGGAATTGGTTCATTTCAGCATAACATACAGGCTGAACATACAAAACGGTTTTTGGGGGTTAACCTCAGGAATATGACTGAAGTTTATTCAAATTAGGTAGTGTTTATCGAAATTATTTGGAAGACGTTAGTTGTCCTTACTTCAATATGTTTTTACATATTTATTTTACTGATACGAAAAATTCAATATGTACTCGTGATTTTTTTTTTAAAGAAGCATCCTCAATTATAGCTCACATTTATGTAGATTTAAGACAATTGTCTTTAGCTTTTAAACTTGGTCATTTTTTCTTTTAAATCTGTGAATGGGAATAGCAAATTAATCTTAGAGCAAAACTTAATGTGAAAGTTGTGGTTTTTGTTTTGTTTTAAGTGAGGTGAAGAATACCCAAGCCATCAGCATGTTGAACTAGAGACAACAGGGACTTACTTCACACCTATATTATATATGAAGCAGAGCCAGGAAAATTTGAAAGTTCTTAAACCTTGATTTAAGTGGTCTGTGGGTGTTCATTCTGTTTTTAAACCACATTTCTAAAAATTGTGTATGAATTGAGAGCTGAGGGGCTTTTAGGACTTTGTGGTGATTTGTTGATCTGCTCACCAGGACACAACAGCTGCTTTTGTTAATGAGCATTCTGCCTTCAGTAAATTGAAGCCTTTATCTATCCTAAGTGTACATGAAGTTCCTTAAAATCTGATGCTTCCATGTACATTTTCTACAGTTTTACAGAATTATTACTGAAAATTTAGGTCAGATACATCACCAAAGGAATAAAATATTATTTTGGATAGCGGTTATTAGCAGCATGTGTACAAATTAGTTTAGATAAATCATGCATTGTCCTACAAACTAGTTATTTCTGGCTTAATGTAATATAGCTCCTGAATTTTTTCCAGCAGCATAATAAAATGGCTAATCAGGTGAATGGTAATGCGGTACAGTTAAAAGAAGAGGAAGAACCAATGGATACTTCCAGTGTAACTCACACAGAACACTACAAGACACTGATAGAGGCAGGCCTCCCACAGAAGGTGGCAGAAAGACTTGATGAAATATTTCAGACAGGTATAATATGCATTTCTTGTTTCTGACTGGTTATGAAAGTGAGGGCAAACCACTTTGAATTTTATAGACTTTTTTAAGGTTAAATAATGCTTACTGTTTCTGATCTGTGTAGAGTTGAATATTGTTACTTTCCCTTCATTGAGGACGTACAGTATTGGGTTTGACTTTGATATTCTTATTTCATTATTTTGAAGCTTTCTTAGTGTTGAATATGCAGTCTTAGTTGTTACAGAACAGTACATCGATTTGTCTTAGACTTACCACCAACTAAAATGTATGTTTCAGTGTACCAAATTTTGTATTTTTTTTCCTTAACCGATATCAGTGATCATTTTGCTTTTACTTTTCTACTTTTATCTTTTAAAAAGTGATTGTTAAAACAGCTTAGGTCTCATTAGGTGGCATAATAAGAGTAGTTAGGCTGTATTGCCTGATAAATGTCAGACTCCTTGAGAGTTTGTGGTCTGTCTAGTGTCTAATAGACAGAAATCCACGTCTCTCCATAATTTGGAAGTGTTCGGTTTGTAACAGCTGCTTTTTTAAAAATCCAGAAGTCCCATGGTTAAGTGCTTAAGCAAATTTGACATCTTAATATGGTTGGTTGTAAGCGGTTTGAAGGTTTAAAGAGAGAAATATTTACCCTTAGGGAGCGTTGTTCGTAAATAAATGTGTCCTTGTCCTTTGGGGCCATAGATGGAAACTTTCTTCCGCTGTGTTTTATGTGCCTATACAGAGAGAATGAGAGAGAGAGACAGAGAGAGAGAGAGAGAGAGAGAGAGAGAGAGATTGAGATTGAGTGAATGAACAGAATTGTCTCAGATGTGTCTTCACTACAGTAGACAAGCTGGGTTTTATTTTTATTTTTTCATTCTTAAGAACTTTTTAAGACAAGCTGGGTTTTATTTTTACTTTTTCATTCTTAAGAAATTTTTAAGTCTGGCCAGCTCAGGATGTTTTAGACACTAAAATGATTTATAAAAATTATTCCTGGGTAATGGTCCCATTTGAAAATCAGTCCTCAGGAACCTTCTGTGACAGTCTGCCTAGAGAATTGGCAGTGATCTGCTTAGAGATGCTCTCCTGGAGAGTGTTTTGTCATTGCTAAGAGGCTGATGGTTTGGTATAGGATTGGATTGACAGAATGGATTGATGAGTGTCCTGAGTTGTGGCTCTGGGTGGTGGTATTGAATATGGAAGCAAGAAAACTCCCAATTATTCAGGCATGCTCGTTTTGAGCTTTAAAAAGGAATTTTGTAAGCTATTTTATGTTTAAAGTTTACTTATTGTATGAAATAAAGTTCTTTTTGGCTTTACCAAAATGGAGTCACTTTTGAGTTAGTTCATATGGACTTAATCTGTCAAATATTTCTATTTTACATTGAATCAATTCTGAAATAGATTACTTATACATAGAAATTATAACACAAATTTCACAGTATTAAAAAGTTCTATTTAAAATTTAGTAGATCTCTCATGGTGACACATACCTATAATCCCAGCACTTTGGGAAGCTGAGGTGGGAGGATTGCAAACCTTGAGTCCCACCTGAGCAATTTAGTGAGACTGTGCCTCAAAACTAAAAAGTAGAAAAGGCTGAAGAAAGAGCTCAGTGCAAATGCCCTGGGTTCAGTTCTGGCCACGCTCTTCCAAAAAATCCAACCAAACAACAATGACAAAAATCCTTAATAGATGTTCTTTGGAGTTAAATGTACAGTACTGCATATATGCAATTTTGTGTATATATTTCCTATGTAGTTTACTTGTAAGTCCATAACATTCTTACTATTTGAAAAAAAAAAATCGTCATTATTGACAGTGTTGTAAATGCCACAGCATCTTTAAAACTTCAGTTGTTAATGCAGAAGAAAAAAATGCCTTAAAATATGACTTTCAGAATTGATTAATCAAGCTGCATTTGAATTTTCAAAGAGTTTTAAATTATGCCTTTCCACATTCTGATTGCAGCAAAATAGATGCTCAGTTAAATGGGTTTCAATTTATCTTTGGTGCTAAGGAGGGAAAGTCTTTGACAGTTTTTGGAGAGTGGAAACAATTAAGAAAATTGGTTCTCAAATTTTTTTCCCATCTCTTAGGTAGTAAACAGCTATGGCAATCCGTAATTTGAAGGTTTATCCTTGGGAAATACAATGTGTTCTTAACCACTTTTCTCACAAGCCAGAATTTGTTATATGAATGCTTAATCTGTAGTACAATATGTACATCAGATTTAGCTTTTTAAGATTAAATACTGGGAGTTGAAATGAGTTTTAGGATTTTTTTATGGGTTGAAATTAATGTTTATAACTGTTGACATTTTATCTGTTATTTTTATAGTTGCACTCAACGTTTTTATTCAGTATTTATGTAACTGCATATGTAGTTAGTAACAGCATATACGATTCTTAATAGCCTTTTAATAGGACAGTTTAGTTTACCCGTTTTATTGCAATAATGTTACCCCATTTCAATTTAATTTTTAGGATTGGTAGCTTATGTCGATCTTGATGAAAGAGCAATTGATGCTCTCAGGGAGTTTAATGAAGAAGGAGCTCTGTCTGTGCTGCAGCAATTCAAGGAAAGTGACTTATCACATGTTCAGGTAGGTTGTTCTCAGAAATGCCTCTAAACACTTAGAGATATTTATTATCTGAAATTAATATTATCTGAAGCGACATTAATATTATCTGAAATTATTTTTTCATTACAATGCTGTTTTCTCCTCTGTTGAGGAGTGGTCTTTTTTGTTTCTAACTACCTAAAAAATTAGGAAAAAAGTATCTGTAGGCAAGTTTCAGAGGTATAAGCATAAGGCAGAAACCTCCCTCTTGCATTTTGTGTAGTAAGTTACTTTAAAAACTTAAAACCATGGTTTGATGGTTGTTACTGTTGGGTTTTTACAAGTTTGAATTGCTCAGATTTGTTTCATTTTTGCATGATCTAATCCAGGGAAGTAATTTTTTTTTTTTTTTAGAATCGGGGATTGAACACAGACCCTTGCATTTGCAGGCAAGTGCTTATTCTGCTGAGCCGTTTCCCCGGCCCCAGTAATGTTGTTGAAAGCAATACTTTTCAGCCATCTAATAAAAATAGTCCAGGTTCAGGGGCTGGTGAGATGGCTCAGTGGTATAAAGCACCTACTTGGAACAAGCTTGGCAAAGTACAGGGACCGTGGTTCAATCCCCCAGCACCACATGCCAGCCAGCCCCGCCCCCTGGTGGGCTGAGCTGGACACAGACACACACACACACACACACACACACTCTAAATAAATAAATGTTAAAAAAAATAGTCCAGGTTCAGTTAAATATCAACAAATGGAAGACTTCCAAGTTTAGATAATAACCCATAAGGTACAACCAGCAAGTATTTATTAAAAGAATAAATATTTTAAATATTTGGTCTTCATTTTTGTTTTTTTTGAGAAAGGGTCTCACTGTGTGGTTGAAGCTGGTCTTGAACTCACTGTATAGTCCAGGCCGGCCTTGAACCCATGGAATCGTCCTGCCTCAGCCTCCTGAGTTCTGTGATTACAGGGTTGTGCCCCCATGTTCCATCAAAACTTTGGGTCTTAGGGGCTGGGGAGATGGCTCAGTGGAATAAGCGCTTCCCTGGCAAGTGCAAGGGCCTGAGTTCAATCCCATTCCAAAAAAAAAAAAAAAAAAAAAAAAAAAAATCCCTTTGGGTCTTCAGAAATTTGAATTTAATTATGTATTTGATGCCTCAGAGATTCCTGGTAATTCTTTTTATTGAATTACTTGCCTCTTTTAGAACAAAAGTGCATTTTTATGTGGAGTTATGAAGACCTACAGGCAAAGAGAGAAACAGGGCAGCAAAGTGCAAGAGTCCACAAAGGGACCTGATGAAGCAAAGATCAAGGTAATACTTGGCTTGGATAATTGTGCTATTCT